CCTGTCCTCGACTGTGCTTTCCTTCCAGATGCCTCGCATGAAGGAGGAACTTCTACCCATCAACAGTGAGCTCTGTGAGCCCTGGTGGGGGTTGCAAAGGAGTGCATTCCTCCCTTGGAATGATGCGATTAAGACCAAGAAGCCCTCACAGGCAAAGCAAAGGCAAAAGCTCTGGGCCTGAGCCAGACAGCCAAGGTTTAGGTCCCAGCAGTGTCACTTAATGACTGTGTGACCTTGACTAGTAACTTTACCACTCAGAGTCTTTGCCTCCTCATTTGAAACATGGAAAAAACTAAAACATACTTCACAGGTCTATGCTGAATAAATGAGGTTATGAACAGAAAGTCATGGTCAGTAAATATTGATGTCTTTTCTTCTTTTGCAGAGAAACAATAGAAAATCTGCCTTGTTGCCATTAAGGGTGGGCTTCCCACTGTCTGCCCTGGCGGGGAGCACAGCTTTAGCAAACCTCCTTCAACTCTGGAGGTCAGCCTATGCCTGAGTATACAGAATGCTGTGGAGCCAGTTTCTGCAGTGACTCAATGCAAGTGTACTTCTGAACAGAATGCTTTATCGTCTTAGGTTTCGTAAGATGAAGGGAGCAAAGAAGGAGAGAGCATCTTATGTGTGAGGTACTGTGACAGGCACTTCTTCATTTACTCTGCTCTCAAAACTCTAAAGTAGAGATTATTGTCCCCATGTTACAGCAGAGAAACTTGTTGAGAGGCAGAGAAATGAAAGGGCTTGCTCAAGATCATAGAGTAATGGGTTGAATTCAGCTGCATCTAAAACATTATATATTTTTAAATAAAAGTAGCTATAATAATAGATTAAAATATTTAAGAATAAGTGTAACCAAACAAATGCAAGACTTGTACACTGAAAAATATAAAACATCTAAATAAATGGAAGGATATCACATGTTCATTGATTGGAAACCTTAATACTGTTCAGATGGCAATACTCCCCAAATTGATCTACAGATTCAATGCAATTCCTGCCAAAATTCCAGCTCTCTAGTTTGCAGAATTTGACAAGCCAATCTTAAAATCTGTGTAGAAACAAAAGGCAAAACAATAGGCAAACAATCTTAAAAAAGAACAAAGTTGGATAATTGATACTTTCCAATTTTTTTCTTTTCTTTCATTTAAAAAAATATTTTTATTTAGAGACAAAATCTTGCTCTGTTATCCAGGCTGGAGTGCAGTGGTGTAATCATAGCTCACTGTAACCTCCAAATCCTGAGCTCAAGTGATCCTCCCACCTCAGCCTTCTGAAGAGCTAAGACTACAGGCATACACCGCCACTCCTGGCTAATTTCTTCACTTTTATTCTTTTGTAGACATGTAGTCTCCCTAGGTTGCCCAGACTGGGACACTTGCCAATTTGAAAACTTACTATAAAGCTACAGTAATCAGGGCTGGGTGGTAATGGCATAAAGACAGTCATAGAGATCAATGGAATAGAACAGAGAATCCAGATATAAACTCATACATTTATGGTCAAATGGTTTTTGACAGGAGTGTCAAGGCAATTCAATAGGGAAAGAATAGTCTTGCCAACAAGTGGTGCTGGAACAACTGGATGTCCACACACAAAAGAATGAGTTTGGACTGTAACCTAATATCATAAAAAATTAATTCAAAATGGATCAAAGACATAAATATAAGAGGTAAAACTATAAATCTCTAAGAATAAAACATAGGCATAAATCTTTGTGACTTTGGATGTGTCAAAGTTTCTTAGATACGACATCAAAAGCATATGCAACCCCCAAAATAGATAAGTTGGATTTTATCAAAATTAAAAACACTGGTGCTTCAGAGAACATCAACAAGAGAGTGAAAAGAAACCCCACGAAATGGGAAACAATTTGCAAATCATGTACCTTATAAAGGCCTTGTATTTTAGATAGAGAAAGAACTCTTTCAACTCAACAGTAAAAAGATAAATCAGTAAAAAATGGACAAAGTATTTGAATAGACATTTCTCTAAGGAAGACATACACATAAAAAAGTGATGAGCACTATTAGCCATTAAGGAAATATAAATCATTTTTGCACAATGATATAGGCAACAAAAGCAAAAGTAGACAAATGAGATTACATCAAACTGAAAAGCTTCTGCACAGCAAAAAAAACAAAAACAAAAACAAAAAACAAAAAACAAAAGAAACAACAACAACAACAAAAAAAACCCAAAAAAACAAAAAACACAAAACAACAGAGTGAAGAGGCAACCTATGGAATAGGAGAAATTGTTTGTAAACCATACATCTGGTAAGAGATTAATATCTAAGGAACATATAGAAGGAACTAAAACAACTCAATAGCAAGAAAATAAACAACCTGATTTAAAAACAGGCAAAGGATCTGAATAGACATTTCTCGAAAGAAGACATACAAATGGCCAACAGGTATATGAAAAATGCTCAACATCACTAACCATCAGGGAAATGCAAATGAAACCCACAATGAGATATCACCTCCTACCTGTTAGGACTATTATAAATAAGATTAAAGATAACAAGTGTTGGTAAGGT